CAGCCTCGGGGCGGGCGCCGGCAGGGCGAGGCGCCGGGAAGCTGCGGGGATAAGAGAAACAGAAGTTTAGAAGTAAAAGGAGAGAAATAGGAATGCTGAAAGATAGAAGTAAAATGGGAGAAATAGGAATGCCCGGAGATAGAGAAATAGAGAAATAGAAAGGCCTCCCTACAACACTGCAATGTGAGAGCTTGGATTCGGTCTGCCTGATTAAGTGAGGCGATGAGCACCTGCGGGCGGCTAGCAGCTTATGCGCCGCAGGTCACCGAAGACAGGCACGAATTAACATCAGTAAGGCCTCCCCACAATACAGCAATTAGAAGGCTTGGATTCGGTTTGCCTGATTGTTAGGGCTTGTAAGCCCCTGCAGGCAGAGCAGAGCATGCGCTGCAGGGCACCGAACACAGGCACGCATCAGCGCCTAAAAACCTCCTCACAACATGGCGAAGAGAGGACCCGGATTCGGTTTGCCTGATTGATAGGACTTGTAAGAACCTGTGGCAACTCTAGCAAGTAGAGCAGAGTGTGTGCCGCGGGACACCGAAGACAGGCACGTATCAACGCCAAAAAAAATAAAAAGAAAGGGGGATCTGTAGGGAGCAACCCGGACTAGACTAAGTTACTGGAATTAAGACTTATTCTATGCATCTGCTCTCCCACAATATGGCGCTGGGAGAGAAGTAAACAGCTTCCGCACAGCTGCCTCCAGTTCAACCAATAAACAGCAGGACCTGCTCCTGATTGGAGGAGAGCAGTGTACTCGGCGTGTGGGCAGCCGAGTTGGGATTGGCGGAGGAGGACTATAAAGGAGGAGAGAGACGGCATTCACCAGGAACATCTAAGGGGAACATCTAGCTGAAGGAACACCTGTGCAGCCCCCGAGAGAGCCGGCCGGTGGTGTGCCGCTCCCCCGCGGAAGTGGGGAATGTGGCCAGGGGGAACTGCCCTTCCACGGAGGTGGAAGGGATAGTAGCCAACCCGGGAAGAACCAGCAGCAAACCCGGGGAGGGCCGAGCAGACGAAAGAACAGCGCAGGGTCTTGTGTCGTTCCCCCACGAAGACGGGGAGCGACAGTACGGGAGTGTGTGTTGTGGAATGCTGTATCATACGGGAGTGTGTGTTGTGAAATGCTGTATCGTGCGGGAGTGTGTGTTGTGGAATGCTGTATCGTACGGGAGTGTGTGTTGTGAAATGCTGTATCTTATGGCAGTGTGTGTTGTGGAACGCTGTATTGTACAGGAGTGTGTGTTGTGGAATGCTGTATCGTACGGGAGTGTGTGTTGTGGAACGCTGTATCGTACGGGAGTGTGTTGTGGAATGCTGTATCGTACGGGAGTGTGTGTTGTGGAATGCTGTATCGTACGGGAGTGTGTGTTGTGGAATGCTGTATCGTATGGGAGTGTGTGTTGTGGAATGCTGTACCTGGACCCAGTGCATTAAAGTCCTGGCCTGCAGTGCCGGCATCCACGTGGGCACCGGTTCACGTCCCGTCTGCTGCACTTCCGATCCAGCTGCCTGCCTCTGCTCCTGGGAAGGCAGGAGGGGTGGCCCAAGTGCTTGGGCCCCTGCACCCATGTGGGAGACCTGGAAGAAGCTCCTGGCTTCGTTTGCAGCCATTTGGAAGTGAACCAGCAGACAGACGGAAGACCTCTCTGTCTCTACTTCTCTCTCTAACTCTTTCAAATAAATTAAAAAATTTTTAAAAAATACTATAGATTTCACATTTTGTACCAAAATAAAATCATCTTTTAATTCTGTTTTTCAACGACCTTTCAGATCGCGGGTTAAATGAGCGGGAGGCCTTTCCCAGCACAGACTGCATTAGGTCTGTCCCCCCCCCCCCCGCCCCCGCCCCGGCTTCCCCAAATGCCCAGAGTAGGGGTTTCCTAGGATATGGTTCTGGGCTCCAGGGTAGGCGCTGAGTCTCACATCAGGCAAGTCCAGGAGAGGGACTCTGAAACGCGGTTGGTTTGTTCCCATCCCGGTCTCCTCCCCCCGATTTTGGAAGTTGTGTGTGTGTGTGGTTCTATAAAGGCAGGGCTAATCTCTTAAATGACTCAGCGCTTAAATGACTCAGCAATTACAGATTCAGTCATCGCTGAATAATGTCTGCGTGTGGAAGAAGGACTTGTTAAGGAAGGGCATCGCCCCTGAACCTGTAGGTGTAATTGGCAACGGGACAGTCGTTAGAGACTGCTGGTTTCCGGAATGACTGTAACAGCTGGTGTTGCCTCTAGCAGTGTGTGAGTTCGCTTGTTCACGTCTTCAGCAGCACCTAATGCTCTCTGGTAAATAACGTCGTGTTTTTAAAGCCGTTCTGATGAGTGTAAAGTGTATCTTGGTGCGGCACATCTGCGACCCTGCTAGTAATGGTTGAGCACTAAGAGTGGTTCATGTGCCGTGTGTGTGTGAAGAAAACAGCCAGCTTTCTTGCCCCTTTGCACTAGGCATGTGTTTTAACAGTGTGTCAACTTACTTCTGTTTGAAAGGCAGAATAGTGTTTCACGTGCTCATTCGCTCCCCAGACGCCTACAGCAGTCTGGGCTGGGCCAGGCTGAAGCCAGGAGCCTAGGGCTCCATCCAGGCCACCCACGGGCCCCAGGGGCACAGGCACTCAGCAGTTATCTGCTGCCTCCTACGGTGTACATTAGCAGGAGGCTGAAACTGAAGCAGAGCCAAGACTCAGACTCATGCCCTGAGCCCTGGCTTCCGGCGTCCTCAGCCTGTCTTTACTCCTCTGCCGCTCGCCCTGCCCGAGTCACAGGTTCTCTGGGTGACCCGTGAGTCTCCTGTTGGATGCAGGATTGTGGACGCGTTCTGCCAGGCTTTGCTGTCTGCTTTCAGTAGTATTTCTGATGAACAGAAGTGTTTAATTTTACTAAGTAAATTCCTAGAATCTTGTAATTTGTCTGTTTGTCTAACAGACTGTTCTGTCAGTAGCTGAAGATTATAATCATAGAATATATGTGATGACATCATAAAATTAATGGAAAATGAAATTAAAAGGTAAATCTTATTTCTCAGCCCATGAAGTTCAAGACACTTTGATAAGTGCTAATACAGCCGTTTGGTCAATCTCTAAAGAATTAAGGTCCTGAGAATTTACAGTGCCAATGTAATCATCTTTACACTTTTGGCTGAAGAAAAATAGATGCCCTTTAAAGATTTTTTTATTTTAAAAAATTTTTTTGACAGGCAGAGTTATAGAGAGAGACAGAAAGAAAGGTCTTCCATTGGTTCACCCCCCAGATGGCTGCTACGGCAGGCAAACCGTGCTGATCCGATGGCAGGAGCCAGGTGCTTCTCCTGGTCTCCCATGGGGTGCAGGGCCCAAGCACCTGGGCCATCCTCCACTGCACTCCCTGGCCACAGCAGAGAGCTGGCCTGGAAGAGGGACAACCGGGACAGAATCCAGCGCTCCTACCAGGACTGGAACCTGGAGTGCCGGCACTGCAGGCGGAGGATTAGCCTAGTGAGCCGTGGCGCCGGCCTTTAAAGATTTTTTTTTTTTAATTAGGAAACAAAAAGAAGTGAGAGCTTAATCAGGACGAATGATTTCTCATGGAAGTTCGTAGTCTTACTGAGGTGTATTTTACTCATTTCAGTAATTTTTAGTAAAGTTGTCAAATAGTATAACCATCACAAAATAAGTCAGTTTTGGAACATTTTAATTTCCCTACAAAGATCCTTTGTGCCCGTTTACAGTCACTCAGTCACTCTCCCTGACCTGGCCCCAGGCAGCTGCTGACCTGCCCATCTCTAGACTTTGCTTTTCTGGACATTTCACTTAAATGAAATCCTGCAATAGTGATCTCTCCGTCTGGCTTTCATTTAGCTTTTTTTTTTTTTTTAATTTTAACTGATAAGCTTTTTTTTAAAAAAAATTATTTATTTATTTATTTGAAAGGGTTACACAGAGGAGAGGCAGAGAGAGAGAGAGAGAGAGAGAGAGAGAGAGAGGAGTCCTCCATTCAGTGGTTCACTCCCCAGTTGGCTACAATACCCAGAGCTGCACCAATCTGAAGCCAGAAGCCAGGAGCTTCTTCCGGGTCTCCCACGCGGGTGCAGGGGCCCAAGCACTTGGGCCATCCTGCAGTGCTTTCCCAGGCCACAGCAGAGAGCTGGATCAGAAGTGGAGCAGCTGGGTCTTGAACCAGCGCCCATATGGGATGCCTGTGCTTCAGACCAGGGCATTAACCTGCTGCACCACAGCACCAGCCCCATTTAGCTTGTTTTTGAGCTTAATTCATGAAGTAATGTGTCAGTAGTGTGTTCCTTTTTATTACAGAAAGCAATCCATTGTATGGCTATGTCATGATGATTTTAACATTTTTTGATTTATTTGTTCATTTGAAAAGCAGAGTGAGAGAGACAGAGGTCTTCCATCACCTGGCTCACACCCCACATGTCTGCAGTGGCTGGGACCACACACTAGCTCTGCTTTTGCTTTTCTTAATGTTCCTTGGAAATTAAAAACAAATACATCTTATGACCAGCATTGTGGTGCAGTGATTTAAGCCACCATCTGCCGTGCCAGCGTCCCATCTCACGGCTCTGGTTCAAGTCCCAGCTGCTCTGCTTCTGACCCAGCTGCCTGCTGGTGTGCTGGGAAGACAGCTGAAGGTGGCCCAGGTGCCGGAGTCCTGCCACTCATGTGGGATACGTGGATGGAGGGCCTGGCTCAACCCTGGCTAATGTGGCCATTTGGAAAGTGAATGGTAGATGGAATCAATCCACGCCCCTCCCCTGCCACCTCCATCCCTCTCTCCCTTTCATATAAATAAAACAAATCTTTAAAAAAAAAAAAAAAGACTGCCTTATCCTTTGTATAACTGTCATTCATGCTTTTAAAAGGGTTACTCAATGTTCTATCAGTTTTGTTGTTTATTAGCCCTCTGTTGTTAGGTATCTACAACTATTTTGTCAAATTCTTCTTATATTTCTGTTATTTTTTAAATCTAATGCCAAATACCATTAGTTTAATGTTTATTCCTTTTTAGAATCCATATCCTTGGATGATGCAGGCCCCTGCCGTGACGGAGACGGCTTCCGGTAACGGCTCTCACCGCAGCGGAGGAGCCCTCCAGAGAGGTGAGGGCCCGGCCAGCCTCCCTGGCGTTGGGTGGGCAGGTGTAAGAGGTGCTGCCGACATCTCCCTCCAGTGTGGCTGCTTTCAAAGCCTTTCCCCTAGTGCCGTGCCGAGCGCAGCGTGTGTAATTTAACCTCCGCCAGTGGCTGGATGGGCGAGGGTGCTCCCGGCACCTCCGCCAGTGGCTGGATGGGCGAGGGTGCTCCCGGCACCTCCGCCAGTGGCTGGATGGGCGAGGGTGCTCCCGGCACCTCCGCCAGTGGCTGGATGGGCGAGGGTGCTCCCGGCACCTCCGCCAGTGGCTGGATGGGTGAGGGTGCTCCCGGCAGGATCAGCCCGAGAAAGGGAAGTTGGGGGAAGAGGAAGTGAGCAGCTGCCAACAGGCGCAGGATGCCTTCGAGTCCTGCATGGAAAGCGGGCAGGTTGGTCTGCTGGCCAACAGGATGCATATGGCAGACACGTGTGCGTGTCTGTGAACAGCAAGAGCGCAGGGAGCAGTGCTGCTGAACTATGTGCTGATGAATACGCGCGGCCCAAACCATTAAGAGATAATTTTAGATTAGAACAAAAGTCCCACCCTGCATTGTTCATGAGACACATCTAAAACAGCAAAGTTTAAAACTATAGCAGGTATTCAGGGTGAAACCGGTTAGGCCCCCACCTGCAGTGCCAGCATCCCAACGGGCCGGCGCTGGTTCAGTCCCGGCTGCTCTGCTTCAGTCAGCACTAATGTGCCTGGGAAGCAGTAGGGATGGCCTGAGTGCGTGGCCGTCTCCACGTGGGAGACCTTAACGAGGCTCCAGGGGCCGGCGCTGTGACGCAGTGGGTTAGGGCCCTGGCCTGCAGCGCCAGCATCCCATATGGGTGCTGGCTCTAGTCCCGGCTGCTCCTCTTCCAATCTAGCTCTGCTGTGGCCTGGGAAGGCCATAGAGGATGGCCCGGGTTCTTGGGCCCCTGCACCCACGTGGGAGATCCAGAAGCTCCTGGCTTCGGATCAGCACAGCTCTGGCCATTGCGGCCATCTGAGGAGTGAACCAGCGGATGGAAGACCCCTCCCTCCCTTCCTCCCCACCTCTCTCTCTCTCTCTGCCTCTCTCTGTGACTGTCTTTCAAATAAATAAAAAATAAATCTTTAAAAAAAAAAGAAGCTCCAAGCTGTGGCCATTTGGGGAGTGAACCAGCAGGTGGAAGATTCTCTCTATATGTGATTTCTGCCTTTCAAATAAACAAATAAAATCCTCATAACAAAAATAGCATGTAATCAGTACTAAAACTATTCCGGGGTTCGGGGTCAGCTGGGAGTAGGCAGGCTGGATCCGAAGCAGGGCAGCCAGGTCTCTGACCAGCACTCTGGGATGCTGGTGCCACCTGACAGCTGGGTACAGGATCGCGACATAAACTGCTTTCAGCTCTGGTCTTAGTAAATATTTTTGAGCTCTCGTCCTCTCACTAGCATTTCAGTTGGCGGCCCCGTCTCTTCCGTGCGGAGCTGTTCTAACAGCTTCTTCAGTTCCACTCCTGCACTCTGGTCTTCACTGTCCTCCCCGAAGCCTTCCTTCTGCTGTTGCCAGGGCTGCGTGAGACTCGGTCCCAGGCACTGGGCCCCCTTCCAGGGCAAGAGCCATGCTCCTAGCGCACTGTGAAGTCCTCTCAGCTCACAGCCCCTCTGACTTCCGGGAGCTCTTTCACCCAGACAAGCTGGCTTACAGTTTCCTGAAAATGCTGTCTTCACGCCTACTGTTGGGTTAGTTTAAAATATTTTTATCTGTCTGTTTCAAAAACTTGTTAAATGTTTTCTCTGAGGCTGCTGCTTCCCAAACATACCTGTACATCAGCACAATTCTGCCAGGACTTTTCTTGTACTTTGTGACACTTCTGTGTACGTCTGACCTTTAGGAAAGCCAGCAGCATTTGAGAGCGGCACCTATGTCCTCTTCCCCTTTGTTTTTTATAAGAAAAAAGCTGCTGATTAGACCTCTGCAAATGGAGTCAGTAGAAAACTCATCGTCACTGGAAGAATCCAGGGAAAATCTTGGCTACTATCTTGGGCTGGACGGCTGCAAGAAAATCCTACGGAATGTGTGGCTCGGACAACAGAGATTTTTTCCTCATAGCTGGCGAGACTGGAAGTCGGAGCTCAGAGTGGCAGCCTGGGGAAGTTCTGGGGGGTCTCTCCCGCCTTGTGGATGGCTGTCTTTTTCTGTGTCCTCCCTCACTAGAGAGAGGGAGCAGGCTGTCTCGTGACTTACTGAGTACTGACCCTATCCAGACAGTTGTGACCTCATCAAATCTAACTGCTTCCTCCAGATACCGTCACATTGTGGGTGAGGCCTTCCACATGGAGTTTTGGGGGAACGCAGTTCAGTTGATAGTAGCCACCATACGGGACAGCTTTTATGGACAATGTGAAAAGTGCTCCTGTGCTGAGTGTAGGTCAGCTCACGTCTGAGTCTTTTCTAGTGTTTAGATTCTAAAATGCTACTACTGTTAACACCCTGTTCCTTTTTTAAAATCAGATAGACCGTCTAATACCAAGAAAGAAGATGTATCACCATCCTGCAGAGGCTGTAATGAAGTCAAACCAACTTTTCCTGGCGATGACTGGGGTTCCTCGGCGCTAGAGCAAAGAACTAATGACAGAGAAATCAGCAGTGTTGACAAAACAGGTTTAGCGGAGCTGTCTTTGTCAGGGAGTCAAGTTACTAATGTGGCAAGTACTTACTCTCAGTCAAGTGAGCTTGAAGACAGCGTTGAATGTAGGTATTTGAATGAAACATACTCTGTACACCTTTCAGAGTCAAAACTAAAGAATGAAAGTCTTGTTCATTTAAATTTACAATTAGATCCTGAAATACAGAAAGAAGAAGAGATGTTTTTTGATATTTTGGAGCATCAAGGTGACAAGACTGCAGGCTTAGAAAGAATCTGTGAGATTCCAAAAGATGACTGTAAAGCAACTGCTGCAGACACGCCGAAGCGCGACAATGATGAGGACTCGCAGCAGGAGTATCACAGTGCGGAAGAGCAGGAGTACGTAAGTAGCTGCTTACCCTCTGACAGGAGCAAGACGTTGAGTGTGTCCACTCCGGAAGCGGTTGAATTAGGAAATTCGGGCTGTGAAGGTAAACGTGCGAGCAGTCTAGAAGATAACCGTGTCAGGTGGGAAGGTGGCTCTGTTATCTCTCTGGATTCGTGGGACATTTACGATGGAGCAGAGTCACCTCGTGTCTCCAGGTCTCGGGGTTCTGTTGCGGGGAAGGAGCATCAGGACCCGGAGCGTGGGGGGAGTGGGGAGCGAGGGGCCAGCTTGTTGTACCACACGGCGCCGGACGACACTGTGCCAAGAAGCAGTTCTCTGGGAAACCACGCGTCTCCATCTCCCAGGGCCTTCATGACTCCCCAGAAAGCATTAAAAGCTAAAATTTATACTGAAAAGGTGAAATCTCAAATTACTGAAAGTAAAGATTTTTGTGGAAGCACAACTGCTGAGAACAAAATACTACAGCACCTTGAAGGTTCCAGCATGTTGCCCAAGAACACAGCTTTGGCAGCACTGCTGCAGCCCTGTGGAGACTGTGCAGCCCCCTGGAGTCCGGGGCTGGATGCTTCAGGCGTTTCTGCCTGTGCATACTCACAGTATCCAAGTATCCAGAGCACCCCAGACCCGGCCTTGGGCTTTGCTGTTCCGCCGCCAAGGCTGGCGGTCAGAGATCATCAGGCACTGAAAGCGGGTGGCTTGCTGACAGTTGCTGGCGGCAGCACCGTGAAGCAGCCGTGCTTCTATGGTGTGGCAGACGCTCGCCCTGAGTCCGCGACAAGTGCAGCAAGGTGTGTCGTCAGAGTTCATCAGGCAGTGGACGTCAGCGCTGACTTCAGAGCTCGTTTCACAGCCAGCAGGGCTACGAGCGCGAGAGCGTCTGTAGTGTCAGCGTCAACCAACACGGAGATAACGATGATGAATAAAAGGCGGCCTGCCGGAAGTGCGAGTGAGAAACAGAGGAGTGTGGCCTGCAACACAGACTGGCCGGACGGCGAGGACGCGCGGGGGCCTGCGCCGGAAGCATCGGGAGCGTCTGATGGACATGTGCTAAGCGAGGTAAACTTAGCAGGATTGATGATACAGTGTTATTCGACTTTAATAGAGAGCATATGCTAATGTAATGATTTTGGTTTGAGGAATTATATTGAGGCTTTGGTGAGATGCTGGATGAAGGAGGGGGGTGGGTCCGTGGCCACCGGTTCTGTTCTTGTGGCGGCTGTTGCCACAAAGTTCATCAGAGGCAGAGTTTTACATTTTACCAGATAGAACATGCATTGCTTGTCATATATTCATAATTTAATTTTAAATCTTGTTTTAAGGATTCTCAGGAACTAAGAAAAACATCTGATACCACAGACTTAAAGAACCATCCTGAGAGGTATGTCAGCAATATACACTGCGGATGTACGAGGGAAAAACTCAGAATGGCATTTGCTTTCTGTGTGGCGTCCATGACCCAGTAGAATCACAGCTAAATGGGATTTTTTAATGATTTATTTTATTTATTTGAAAGGCAGAGTTAGAGAGAGAGACAGAGAGAAAGGTCTTCCAAACACTGGTTCACTCCCCAAATGGCCACAACAGCTGGACCTGGACCGATCCGGAGCCAGGAGCCAGGAGCCTCTTCCAGGTCTCCCACGTGGGTGCAGGGGCCCAAGCACTGGGCCATCTTCTGCTGCTTTCTCAGGCCAGAGCAGAGAGCTGCACTGAAGAGGAGCAGCCGGGACTAGAACCAGAGCCCATGTGGGATGCTGGTGCCACACGCCGCCACTTTTCCGCTGCGCCTCAGCACCGGTCCCTCTAAACAAGATTTTAAGAAATCATCTACTTCAGCCATTTGCTTGCAGATAAAATGATACTGAAGTAATAGAGGCTATTCAAGCTCTGCTCACTGACGTTCCGTGCCAGGAGCTCCTTCAGAAACTCGGGGCGGCTCAGCTGCTCCGCTCCAGCCCACGCTGGCTCAGTTTCCCCTTTCATCTGTCTCTGTGGGTGAACACAGAACAGTACCTGTGACAATGCACGTGAAGAAGAGGAAGCTCCACTGCCTGGAGCACTTTCACTCATTCTGTAGTCTGCTTTGCATTTGTTACATACCCTCATAACCAACAGTGAAGAACCAGGATGCAGAGAGAAAGCAGGGCAATGTGTAGGCAGCCAGGTTGCTTCTGCGCTCTGAGTCGTTTGCTTCCTCCTTCATTCTTGTAATGAGTTTGATCTGATATACCAGCCACATGAAATTAAGTGCAAGAGTTGTAACTGTGGCAGTGGCATTATGGGAAGACCTGCAAACATAAGCTTTTTTGGTATGATAGTGCAGCAAAATATTGGCTTATATTAAAGACTTTTAATTGCTAAGGAAAATGTGGATTATGTATGATAATATAATTGAGAACAGTCTTCAGGGGATGGCGCTGTGATGTAGCGGTAAAACCACCACCTCCAGTGCGAGCATCCCATATGGGCGCCGGTTCAAGTCCCAGCTGCTCCACTTCGATCCAGCTCCCTGCTAATGGCCTGGGAAAGCAGTAGAAGGTGGCCCAAGTGCGTGGGCCCCTGCACCCACCTAGAAGACCCGGGAGAATCTCTGGCTCCTGGCACAGCCCTGGCTGTTGCAGCCAATTGGGGAATGAGCCAGCAGATGGAAGACCTCTCCCCCGCCCCCTGCCTCTCCTTCTCTCTCTATGTAACTCTGACTTTCAAATAAATGAATAAATCTTTAAAAAAAATAAAGAGCAGTTTTCATTCACAATGCCATTAACTTTTAAAAACTCTTGGCCAGAGCTTCATTTAGGTTGGAGAAAAACCCACTGATCTGGGTGAGTGGAGTTATGCCTTGAATTACAGGCCTTTTGGGGGTGGAGCAGGAGAATGTCTGCGTTTGAGAGCGACTCAGAAGCAGCATCCTAGCTGTGAGCTTCGGAGTTCTTGTTGTCAGCAGCTGTGTGCTCCTAGAGCTCTCCGTCCTGCGACAGGGCAACGTAAGGAGCTGTAGATCTGTTTCTACAGGTAGGTTGTTACTACAGGAGAATGTGTGGAATCCTAGCTGATCCTGTCTTCGTCTTACAGGGGGCTCCAGGCTGCTGCGGACGCGGAGGGAGGTGGGCCGTCTGTGTGCTGTCGGAGGCTGCTGCAGCGGGCCAGGGACGCAGAGCTGCACCTGCTGAGCGCTCGCTACCAGCTGTGTCAGCGCCACGGTTGTGATCTCTACAGACTTGTGACGGAAAACAGAGAAGGGCTGAACAGGTGCTTACTGACCTTCCATCTGTGTGCTCCCAGACGTTCTCACTGCTTCCAGTTTATTCTGGGAAATTTCTCTAATTTTCTTTATAGAAAGGCACAGTAAGGGGTAGAGTGTAGCTGGGTCTGCCAGCTGGCCTGAGGTGACGGGCTGTAGAAAGTGACACATAAAGTGCAGGAGGACAAGTCTGGGCTGATGAGTCCAGTAAAAAAATGTGTGATTTGAAGTTTCTTCATAAATTCCAAGTTAACCAAAGGGTTTTGTCTGACATTCTATGACATTGTCTAAGACTTGTAGAAAATTGCCTGTATTTCCCCTAGAAAGATACATCTATGGCTCATTTTTCTTTTACTAATCGTTTAAAATTTTTAAAAACTTAATTATTTGGTAGAATTAGAACTAAGTGTAATAGTAAAATGTTAGTGCCAAATGGATGGCTTGGGCCTAAATAACTTCGTTTTGTAAACTTAACTTTTGAGCAGGAATCTGTCAAGTAATTCTGCTAAGAAGGAATTAGGATCAGCCCTACTGTCTGTTTTGGGAGCCTTGAGAGTTAGATACGAGAGTCTGAAAGAAAAAATACATAAGGGGATTCCACTGGAAGAGCTGCCGCCGCTGGCAATGGAGTCGAAATTATTATCTACCTTCTCTGCCTTCGCCTCCAGGGTACGTACGTATGTCCTAGGAATTAAAATTTTACTTAATTCAGACAGAAAACCATTGAAACAAAGATTTTGCTTTCTTTTTCTCTTTCCAGTTAATGAAAGAAGAACCACATGTGTAAGTTATAATTTAATTTAAAATTTATTAGATCTTAAAAATTAATTCATTTAGTTAACTTTAAATTTCCTGTTTTTAGACATGAATAAGCCTTAATGGAATGTTTATCTGCTTAGTTTTTCAGGAGCAGATTCTGAACTAGATAATCAGAGTGCGTGTGAGGTTGACATGTCTTCAGGCCTAAAAAAGACGCCGTCTCAAGTGAGATGCTTTAACGCTCGTTAGTGTAACCTCAGTTTCACAGCTGAAGTAGACGTGATGTTGAGGACCTTGCCCCGCTTTCCCTGCCTGGGTAGTGTGGACTGTCTGTCACTGTCACTGCAGGGATAGACTGAGTCGAGGGAGCGGGGTGGTCTAGGTCCTGTTCTACATGTTAGCGTTCTGTGTTGAGTCAGGTGACCTTGTAATTTGTCATCAGAACTAGGAGACTTGAGTGTGAAAGAGAATAATGTTAGGGGCTGGCGCTGTGGTGCAGCAGGTTAACACCCTGGCCTGAAGTGCCGGCATCCCATGTGGGCGCTGGTTCAAGTCCCGGCTGCTCCTCTTCCAATCCAACTCTCTGCTATGGCCTGGGAAAGCAGTGGAAGATGGAAGAAAGTCCTTGGGCCCCTGCACCCACTGGGAGACCCGGAAGAAGCTCCTGGCTTTGGATCAACACAGCTCTGGCCATTGTGGCCAATTGGGGAATGAACCATCAGATGGAAGACACTTCCCTCCCTCCCTCCCTCCCTCCCTCTCTCTCTCTTTCTCTCTCTCTCTCTCTCTCTCTCTCTCTGCCTCTCCTCTCTCTCTGCAACTCTGACTTTCAAATAAATAAATAAATCTTTAAATAAAAGAGAGAGAGAATAATGTTAAAAATTTTCTGTGGCAGCAGGTATAGATCTGGTCTGTCCTGGGCACATCACGATACGTTGCCACATTCATGTATTTTTTTTTTTTGGTTTATTTTGCTTTTACAGATTATAAGCATTTTAAATTTATTTTTTATTTTTCATTCAATTTATTTGGAAGGCAGAGAGACAGACCTTCCATCTGCTTATTTCACTCCCCAAGTGCCTGCAACAGCCTGACCAGAGCCAGGAGCCAGAACCTAGTCCAGGCCTCCTCTGAGTGGCAGGGACCCCGTGTTTCATCACCGGCGCCTCCCAGGGAGTGCACTAGCAGGCAGCTAATCAGAAGCAGAGGGGCTGGCGCTCAGGCATCGTGACCCGAGATGCCAGCACTGCAGGTGGCGCCCTACCTGCTGGCACCCACCCTGCACCATCGTGTTCAGCCAGTGCAGCTGAAACGAGCGTCTCCCATTGTCGACTCTGGTTAAACATTTAATTATCTACAAAGAATTAAAAGACTCAGATTGCTGCATCCTCATTTCTTACACAGTGGACTGAAGCACTGTGTGTTTAACGACAGATGTTGTTCTCCTGGATGTTTTCTCATTGTAACAGCAGTGGTGTGACTTGATTAGCTGAGAAAAACAAACTTTTCTAAAATTATATTATATAAATTTAATTTTTATAATTTAGTTTTGAATATACAAGGCAATATGTATTTTAAGTTTGGGTGACATTTTAATACTTCTCTTATTAAGTGGTTATACATGAAATCCAGTGCAGTTTACTGTAGTGTTTCTGAATTTCAGCTATTCATGTGTTGTCTTCAGAATTTGTTAGTTACTTTGTGTTTTTCTTTAAATGATTATCCTTTTTAAGTACATTTAAGTGTAAAGGATAGTTCACTATCACATCTGGGAAACTTTATTTTCCAACAGAAAAGCTGTAAGCATACACTAAGTTAAATGTATAAATGTGAAAGGTTAATATGGTAAATATTTGTACATATCTCTGAAATCCCGTGTGTGTGCGCCACAGTAGTGTTAGCACACAGCCACCGTACATGGACGGGCTCAACTCCTGACTCTTGGTAACCGTGACACAGAGCAGCGGTCACAGGTCACGTCAGGGCTGTTTTCCCACTTGTGACGTCAAGTTGCTGTGAGTGCCAGAGAGTGCCCGGGTGGAGTGCTCCCACACGGGCAGGGCGCCCGGGAGGAGTGCTCCCGCACAGGCAGGGCGCCCAGGAGGAGTGCTCCCACACGGGCAAGGTGCAGCAGGAGTGCTCCCACACGGGCAGGGTGCAGCAGGAGTGCTCCCACACGGGCAGGGCGCCCGGGAGGAGTGCTCCCACATGGGCAGGGCGCCCAGGAGGAGTGCTCCCGCTCGGGCAGGGCGCCCGGGAGGTGTGCTCCCGCACGGGCAGGGTGCAGTAGTAGTTCGTCCCTGTCTGCTGTTGTCATGTTTGTTATCTTCATCCTCAGGTGTCTCTGTTGCCTGACAGTAGTCATCCTAAACAAGATACATCACCCAGTAAAGATGGCTTGAAAAATGGTGACATAAATGTAGACTTCAGTCAACTGAAACTTGATGACAGAGGTCAGTATAAAAAAGTATTGTGTAATTATCACAAAGCAGGTAAGGTCTAAAATGTCCGGTGTTAATTCCTCAAATCAGAATAAATATGTTTATACACCTTAGGAAGGAGGGGATTAAATGATTTTTTAAACTGCAGTTACTTGAACAGCAGAGATAGAGACATCTCCTATCCTCTGGTTCACTCCTCAAATGCTGCCACAGCCCGGGCTGGGCCAGGTCAAAGCCAGGAGCCCGGAACCCGGTCTGAGTCTCCCATGTGGGTGGCAGGGACACAGCCACCGGAGCCGTCACCGCTGCCTCCCAGGGTGCACGTGAGCAGGGAGCTGGGTGAAGCAGAGACAGGGCTTGAACCCAGGCCCTCCAGGACGGGAGCCCAGTTGTGTCTGGAGCACTGCACCAAATGCCCAGCCCTAAAATTGAATATTTTAATTGGCTAAATAGCATTATTGTGGTTAGGACTGTTTATACGTTCTTGTTCTATTTGACATCTTTAAGGTCATCTAATACAGCTGATAGCCCCAATTAATAATATGGACTTTGTAGCTCTGATTCATGTCCAACAGGGAAAGTTTCTTAGATCTGTAAATTGTGTACAATTTTTTAGTTTTACTTTTTCCCTCTAGGAAAAAATGCTGTCATTCTAAAGAAGTCATTAATATTAACAAAATTAAAAGATACAGCACTTTTGTCTTTAAAAATTATTTATTTGTTTGAATGTCAGAAGTACACAGTGAGAGGGAGAGACAGAAAGGGAGATCCTCCATCCACTGGTTCACTCCCCAGATGACCACAGTGCTGGGGCTGGGGCTGGGGTTGGGCCAGGAGCTGGGAGCTTCTGCCGAGTCTCCCACGTGGGTGGCAGAGGCCCAAGCACTTGGGCCATCTTGTGCTGCTTTCCCAGGCCACAGCAGGGGGCTGGATGGGAAGTGGAGCAGCCGGGACGTGAACTGACGCCCACATGGGATGCTGGCACCTCGGGCAGCAGCGTTACCTGCTGCATCACAGCACCAGCCACCAGCCTAACAACAGCTCCTCCCTCCCTCCCTCCCTCCTTCCTTTCCCCTCCCTCCCTCCCTCCCTTCCTCCCTTCCCCTCCTTCCCTCCCTCCCTCCGTCCGTCCCTCCCTCCCTTCCCCTCCCTCCCTTCCCCTCCTTCCCTCCCTCCGTCCCTCCCTCCCTCCCTTCCCCTCCTTCCCTCCCTCCGTCCCTCCCTCCCTCCCTTCCCCTCCTTCCCTCCCTCCCTCTCTCCTTTCCCCTCCCTCCGTCCCTCCGTCCCTCCATCCCTCCCTCCCTCCCTGCCTGCCTCCCTCCCTCGTTGTTTGAAAAGCTGCTGAGCACTTCGTAGTCCCCTTGCAGCTGCTGACCGTTGTCCTGTGTGTGAAGGCAGTGATGTCTTGTCTTAGTAAGGGGCAGCTCGGTAACTGAAAAGTAAGGTGTTCAGTAAGTTGCAAGTCTAAAGGAAGCAAATCACTACGGCTTAAAGAACTTCCTTTTCAAGGACGGCTACAAATCTCCTTTCAGAGAATCTTGGCATTTGTTCTCCTATTTTGCTAATACTCACCGTATGAGTTTAAAAACACTAGCTGTCGTCATCCTGAATCATCCGTGTTTTCCAGTGACTTAGACACCGTGTGTGACTCACAGCCCATTGTGTTGAATTTCGTAGACTGCAGACGTTACCAAGAAGTAAGTGACAACTGGTTTGATGCTAAAGAGAACCTCACAGGAGCTGACTTCTCAGGAATACAAGAAAACCAAGTAGAACAGGAGCAGTGGAATCCGAAATTCACACCAGGTTGGTGTTTTTTTTTTTGTTTTGTTTTTGTTTTTTTTTTTTTACAGGCAGAGTGGACAGAGAGAGACAAAGAGAAAGGTCCTCCCTTGCGGTTGGTTCACCCTCCAGTGGCCACCGCAGTTGGTGCACCGCACTGATCCGATGGCAGGAGCCAGGAGCTTTTCCTGGTCTCCCATGGGGTGCAGGGCCCAAGCACTTGGGCCATCCTCCACTGCACTCCGGGCCACAGCAGAGAGCTGGCCTGGAAGAGGGGCAACCGGGACAGAATCCAGCACCCCAACCAGGACTAGAACCCGGGGTGCCGGCGCCGCAAGGCAGAGGATTAGCCTACTGAGCCGCAGCACCAGCCCACTCTTGTATATATTTCTATATATTTCATACACGTATGAAATTTAAAATAAATAGCATCAGATCATTCTACTATAATCTGTTTTTCTTTCCATGCATGGTTTTTCTCCGTTTTGCTATGTGCTGTATGTTTTGCCGACTTCATCTGTTTTGACTGCTTTCCCACACTCACATATCAGCTCGGTGAGATCGGGGGTTTGGTACACGTGGGTTTTATTCACTGCCTGTCTCCAGTACCAGGCGCAGTGTTCCGCCCACAAGGTATTCGGTAGTATTCTGTATTGAATTAGTGGAAGATGAGGTCACAGGTAGAATCTGTCTCTTATTCTTACTCCTCTTTGCTACTATGAAGGTATTTCAAAAAGTTCATGGAAACTGGAACTAAAAGATAAGTTTATTCTGGTGCAAAAATATTTTGAAATCCGTGCATGAGGGAGTCTTTAGACAGTTTGTGAAAACGCAGATGAAGAAGCTGTGCTGGATTTCACATCTGTGCACTGTAACCCTTACTCCTTCCTCACTCTGATGTAAAGTATGTTGTAAATAATTTCACTGTTTTATCCATGGGATGTGTTGCATCCAAATGATAACAAATGCCTGAAGAAGGTTCCGTGTTGTTACGTAGAGGGGAGGGACTGAGCCTGAACCCCGTCACCTCTGCTTCGCAGGTTTGTGACGTGGACTCCGTCTGTGAATGAGAGAGCAGCCACCTCGGGGTGCGAGCTGATGTGCGTGGCACTGAGCACACTGCCTGAGGCTGGGCAGTGGTCAGAGGGTGTCAGCACTCTCAGCATTATTTAATAAAAGTATTTACCAGCCTCATTATGTAAGAACTATAAAACATAAATAAAAGCTCACTGAGAATAATCAGATACTTGTGTACCCCACTATGTGCCAGGTATAAGACTGTGTAACGATTGGAATCTCAATTCAGTGGCTGCGTTTTGATTTCAGACCAGCTTGGCTTCACAATATTGACCACGAAAATTTAGTCTAAGAATTCCAAGTTTTTTGTCAAACCGGAAAAAAATGCATATCTTTGGGGTCAGTGCTGTGGTGCAGCCAGTTAAGTCACCACGTGTGATGCTGGCATCTCACGTGAGCGCTGGTTCCAGTCCCGGCTGCTCCACTTCCAGTCCAGCTCCCTACCAGTGTGCCTGGGAGAGCAGCGGAAGATGGCCTCCATGCTGGGACCCCTGCACGCACGTGGGAGACCTGGAAGTAATTCCAGGACCTCGGCCTTGGCCTGGCCCTGACCTGGCCCAGCCCCCGCCATTATTGCCTTTTGGGGATTGAACCAGTGAATGGAAGATCTCTATATATATCTCATCCTCTCTCTGTAACTCTGCCTTTCAAATAGATAAAGAAATCTTTAAAAAAAAAAAGAAAGAAAAAGAAAAATTTTATTGGCAGGCCTAGTGTTTGTTGTTTCCAGAATCACGTTGTGTCGCTCAAGGGGCCTCCCCCTCTTTTTTATGTGCCCTTACTAACAGCACAGGCAGTTTTCCTGCTATCCGTGGTCGTCTGATGTAAAGATTCTCTTGGTGTGATGTTTCCCCTGCAAGGAGTTTGCGTAAAGAAGCTCTCAGAGCGCGAGCTGCAGCCAGCATCAACACAGGGACGTGCGTGCTGTGTGTCGCCGAATGCATCCGCATTCCAGATAGTACTTTTCTGAAGCAGGGACAGACGAAAGACACTCTCTTAGTTACGATGTGATAGATCATGCTGTTGAGATGGACGGATCTTGGTCTACAAGAGACTTGCTGGGGACAGTGTTTGGTGCACTGGTTAAAAGGCTTCATGTCAGCCTCTTTATTTTTAAGATGAATTGATTAAGGCCCAGAAACCTTAACGCCGTATTCCAGGCTCCTGGTCCTCAGTCTGGTGCTGGTAGCTCCATAGTAAGGTTTGTCATAGTCTTCATATTTTCTCTTAAAATATGAATGTAATTATGACCATTTCTGTTGTATATTATATATTCCTGCAAGCAGAATTGAAAAATGTTGAGCCCTCGGGAAAAGACAAAGGGTTTCTGATACATGTCGGCGGTCTCTGCCCTTCGGTGTCTGAGGTACGCCACGGCTTCTCTTTTTGAGCTTCACTTTTAAATTTTGAAGTTTCATTGTGTTTTTTTTAAACTTTCACAAACATTTCTCTTCATTTAGGCTGATTTAAGGTCTCATTTTCAGAAATACCAAGTTTCTGCAATTTCAATTGATGATTCTTCATCTAATTACAGGTACGTTTCCCAAATCCAGCAGAGGTGCATCCCTGTGCGTCCCCGGGTGAGGGAGGCAGGGCCACTCCCTCAACGGCTTCCCGGGCCAGCAGAGAGACACAGCTCGGTGCAGCCGGCCTTCACGCGCTGTTCTCGATCGGATCTTTGTTCCAGAACATTTTTAACTTGTCAGTGGAATAGTAGAGCTGTACTGAGTTCTGGTCTCGCATGCCCTTCATAGGGGAAGGAAGCCCGTGAGGTCAGAGAACGGGCTGTGGAACAGACGTCTGTGGGTCCGTGAAGTGATGTGGGAAGTAGCAGTCCTTGGAGGGCACCACTGTGAGACTGGTGTGAGCTAAGTGTGCAAGGCACTGGGAATAAAGCTGGCACGCAGGAAGTTCTCAGAAAAGGATAGTTTGTATTTTAATTACTTTCAGTTGGTGGTTTTTATTTTTTAGGTAAATAACTACATCACTTACATACAGTCACTTCTGATATGGATGTTGCTACTTTCCTTTTGTGACATTACCAGGTCACTCAGAAGTATCAAAGAGCAATGGGGATGGCAAAATGTCATTACTCCTTTATCACTAAAAATAATGCTGTGGGGCAGGCCTTTGGCACGTTGCATCCCATATCAGGTTGCCTGGTTCAAGTCCTGGTACTCTCCCTTCTAATCCTTCTTTTTTTTTTTTTTAAGATTTATTTATTTATTTATTTGAAAGAGTTACAGAGAGAGAGAGGTCTTCCATCCGCTGGTTCACTCCCCAGTTGGCTGCAGTAGCCGCCAGAGCTGAGCCAATCCGGAGCCAGGAGCCAGGAGCTTCTTCCAGGTCTCCCACACAGGTGTGGGAGCCCAAGGACTTGGGTCATCTTCTACGCCTTCCCAGACCATAGCAGAGAGCTGGATCGGAACTGGAGCAGCCGGGACTCGAACTGGGGTCCATATTGGATGCCAGCACTGCAGGCGGCAGCTTTACCCACTACGCCACAGCGCCGGCCCCTCTAATCCTTGATGCTGACGCGCATTCCGGTGGGCAGCAGACGGTAACTCAAGTACTTGGGTCTCTGCTGCCCGGATGGGAGACTCTGATGGAACTCCGGGCGCCTGGCCCCCGCCCGGCCCAGCCCCAGCTGGTGTAGGCATCGGGGGAGTGAGCCAGCGGATAGAAGACCCCTCTCTCCCTCTCTCCCTCCCTCCCTCCCTCCCTCTCTCTCTCTCTCTCTCTCTCTCTCTCTCTCTCTCTCTCCCCCTCTCTCCCCTTTCCTTTTCAAATAAATGAACATTAGAAAGAATGGATTCTATTTGTAGTTGGGGTTGGAATTTCTTATGAATAGATGTATACTTTTATTTCTCACGATTTTTTTCACTTTTTTATTTTACTTTTTGGTATGAGGTTAATAAATTTTAACTATACTAAAGCAGTATGGTAATCCTAGGAGCATTACTTGATATGAAAGATTATTTTAGTGCCTTATTGAATTCTTTGTGTTGTTTTCCTTACTTGAAGTATTAGTGTACATTCTATATGGAAATTTAGAAATAAAATGTACAAGGAAGTTATGAAAAGTTACCCATACTGCCATCATTCGAAAAAGACTAGTCTTCAGAGTTGTTATGTATCTTTCTGTTGACGTGGTTTGGGGCTGGTGTTTTTAAAGGCACAGCTCTTGTCGTCTTTATCAATTTTATGCTTAACATTCTAAATGGATTTTGAAACATTTTTAATAAAGATTTTTTTTTTAATTTATTTGAGAGGCAGAGCTACAGACACAGAGAGAGAGTGAACCCCCATCCACTGGTTCACTACCCAAGTAGCCGCAACAACTGAGCTAGGCTGATCTAGAGCCAGGAGCCAGGAGCTTCTTCCAGGTCCCCCACGTGGGTGCAGGGGCCCAAGGACTTGGACTGTCCTCCACTGCTTTCCCGGGCCCTAGCAGAGAGCTGGATCAGAGGAGGAGCAGCGGGAACGCCATCCTGCTCCCATGTGGGATGCTGGTGCCATAGGCAGAGGCTTAGCCTGCTGTGCCTCAGTGCCAGCTCTGAAAGTTGGTTTGATCTACCTGTTTTCTCAGTATAAAGCTAGAGAGACTGTGTCATATATTCTGCTAAATGTTCCTGAGTTTTGCTTTCCACGTTTAGCCTTTGGAGCCACCTGGAGTAAATATTTGTGTATTGGAATGAATTCTAATTATTTTGTGGGGATAGCCAGTTGTCCCTAGACCACTAACATTTGTAAACCAGCTTTGCAGATGTTTAGCACTGAATTTTCATATAAAGCTGATGGGAAATAGGGTGGTGTTTGGCCTGATGGTTCCTACGCCTGCTGAGACAGGTGCTCCCAGTGTTGAGTGCCCAGGCTCTCCTCTTCCTGCGCACCCTGGGAGGTGGGAGGTGATGACGTAGGAATGGGTCCCTGCAGCCACGTAGGAGATCTGGACTGGGCTGCTGGCTTCAGGCGTTGGCCTGGCCCAGCCCCAGCCATTGCAGCACTCAGCATGGGGGCGTGAACCATGGATGGGGGTGTTACCCACCCCCACCTCTCCCCACACCACTCCTGCTCTTGCTCTCTGCTTCGTAAAACAAATGTTTGAAAGGTTATTGAGTAATAATTCATAAGCACTTACTGCCTTTTATTTCCTATATTTAATTTGTTTTTAGTTATCCTAAAGATTCTTAGTAAAATAACCTTTCTTATTTTTAAGAGTAGATATTCTTGTGAAAAATAAATGTTAGCCAGTAGTTAACAAAATTTAGTTTAAGGTAATTTAAAGTCGTTAACAAAGAACTGTTTGGTTCTCTGCTTTTATATTTCAGATATGCATCTCTTGCCTTTAAGAAAAACAGTGATGCCAAGATGGCTGTGAAGGAAATGAATGGGGTAGAGATAAGTGGGAGAGCAGTGAACGTGCGGCTTGTTAAAACCCCTGGAGAATGCGCGTCGCCGCTTCCCTCCACAAGGGGAAACAGAGCTCGCGTGGGTCATTTGGAGAAGACCAACCAGGAAGCCCACTCAGCACCCTCTGCCTCCCGGCCGCCCAGGACGAGGCCTCGGCAGCGGGGGCCTGAGCAGGACAGCGAGTTTTTCCCTTTGGACCAGGTGAGCTTTCTCGATGCTGCTGTGTGTTGCTTGCAGAGTAAATACGTCCACCGTCAGCCATCTGGAAGTGGGGACAGGAGCGCTAATCTGAGACTTGTTAACCGGGTGCACCCTAACCTGCTCTCGTCCGGCTCCAGCTGCTCCTGCTGGCGAGGTGGGGGCGGAGCTGTCTGGGTCCTCGTAGACCCAGCTTAACAGGACCTCGTTCCTCAGCTCTGCTCTCTGCCAGTCCTCTGCAGCCTCTAGTCCCGGGAGGTGCTACTCTGTCAGTCAGTCAGTACACTTCCGCGTTCTTTTTTTCACAGCTTATCATGATGTTGAGACATAAAATATAGTCATTTTAGTTTTATAACTGCTGTTAAACACCTTGTGAAAAGTGAAGAAGTTTGACTTGCTTGCTTTTATCTATGCACTGCTCAAAATGTTTGGTAACCGTAGCCATTCCACAGATCTTGCTTAAAAATTGATTTAAATACAATAAAATGTATTGCTTTGAGTGTCCGTGATAAACGTATATAGGCAAGTAGCCACCACCACATCCGAGATACAGAACAGTTCCATTATTCCAGAACCCTGTCTCTCAGCCTACTGTGGTTTCTAGTCTTAGATTTTTACCTTTCTAGAATTTCATTAAGTGAGATCACACTACGTAGCCTTCTTAGTCTGACTTCTTTGACTTAGCTTAATGCAGCTGAAATTGATTCTTGGTTTTCTGTGTGTCACCACGTCACTCCTGTGTGTGTGTCGCCAGTCACTCCTGTGTCACCATGTCACTCCTGCATGTCACCATGTCACTCCTGTGTGTCACCGTGTCACTCCTGTGTGTCACCGTGTCACTCTGTGTCACCACGTCACTCCTGTGTGTCACCACATCACTCCTGCATGTCACCATGTCACTCCTACGTGTCACCACGTCCCTCCTGTGTGTGTCACCACGTCACTCCTGTGTGTCACCACATCACTCCTGCATGTCACCGTGTCCCTCCTGTGTGTCACCATGTCACTCCTGTGTCACCACATCACTCCTGTGTGTCACCGTGTCACTCCTGTTTACATCTTGTCCATTTTTATTGAGTTGTTTATTTTATTACCGAGTTTTCAGAATTTTTTGTATTCTGATAATGACTCTTTTATCAGATACTATGTGATTTCCAAATAATTTTTTTTTGACAGGCAGAGTGGACAGTGAGAGAGACAGAGAGAAAGGTCTTCCTTTTTGCCGAGATTCACCCTCCAATGGCCGCTGCGGCTGGCGCACTGCACTGATCCGATGGCAGGAGCCAGGTACTTATCCTGGTCTCCCATGGGGTGCAGGGCCCAAGCACTTGGGCCATCCTCCACTGCACTCCCAGGCCACAGCAGAGAGCTGGCCTGGAAGAGGGGCAACCGGGACAGAATCCGGCGCCCCGACCAGGACTAGAACCCGGTGTGCCCGTGCCACAGGCGGAGGATTAGCCTAGTGAGCCACGGCGCCGGCTCCAAATAATTTTTTAAAATATTTTTTATTTGAGAAGTAGAGTAAAGACAGTGAGAGGGAGAGAGAGAGAGAGAGAAGTCTTCCATCCTTGGTTCACTCCCCAGGTGGCCGCAACGGGGGGAGCTGTGCCAATCCAAAGCCAGGCGCCAGGAGCTTCTTCACAGTCTCCCATGTGGGTACAGGGGCCCAAGGACTTGGGCCATCCTCCACTGCTTTCCAAGACCTTAGCAGAGAGCTGGACTGGAAGAGGGGCAGCCGGGACTAGAACTGGTGCCCATATGGGATGCTGGCGCCACAGGTGGAGGATTAACCTCCTGCACCACAGCGCCGGCCCCCAAATAATTTTTCTCATCCTTGCCTTTCTCAAAGCAGAAGTTGGTCATTTAGGTTTATTTGAAAGGCAGATCAGGGAGAGAAAGAAAGAGATGGAGATCTTCTGACCGCTGGTTCGTTCCTCAAATGTTCAGGACAGTCAAGGCTAGGCCAGGGCAAAACTAGGAGCCAAGAACTTGATCTCCCACATGGTGGCCTATCATAGCCTTTCGGATAAAGGGGGCTATTATCTGCTGCCTCCCAGGCATGGTAGCAGGGAGCCGCGCAGAGCACAGAGCAGCAGGACTTGCCCCGGGCTCTCCTGTAGGGGCCACACACGTCCCGCGAGCCAGTTTACCTGACTCCACCGCCGTGCCCACCCCAGGAGTGTTTTATTTGAATGAAGCATAATTTATTGATTGTATTCTTTTATAGCTTAAGCTTTTAGTGGATAATTCAGACTCAAAAAGGTGCTTTAAGATCTGTTTATTTCAGAGTCAGAGACAGTTAGTTCCTGTGAGCTAGTTCACTCCCCCAAATGCATGTAACAGCTGAGAACAGGCTAGGCGGATCCAGGAGCTGGGAACCTAATCCAGGTCCCTGCCACGGACAGCAGGGACTCAGCCACTCAAGGCTTCTCCCGCTGCCTCTCGGTGCACGTCAGCAGGACGCTGGCATCGGGAGCAGAGCCAGGACCCAGACCTGGGCTGCAGTGTGGTTGCCGTTGTCCTAACTACGTTGCCAAACGCCCACCCCTCACAAAGATTATGAGTAAATTTTTGTACGTCATGTATGAATTGGTGGGCTTTGTTTGGATATGTCTGTTCTTATATGGAATTGTTCTGATATCATTTGTTGAAAAGGCTATCCTGGGGCTGGCACTGTGGCATAGCTGCCACCCCCAGCGCCAGCATTCCATGTGGGCGCTGGTTCAAGTCTGGGCTGCTCCACTTCCATCTGATCCAGCTCTCTGCTGTGGCCTGGGGGAGCAGTAGCAGATGGCCCAAGTCTTTGGGCCCCTGCACCCGCGTGGGAGACCTGGAAGAAGCTCCTGGCTCCTGGCTTAGGATCGGCCCAGCTCTGGCTGTTTTAGCCATTTTAGGGAGTGAACCAGCAGATGGAAGACTTCCTCTCTCTCTCTCACTCTCCCTCTCTCTCTCTCTCTCTCTGACTCTGCTTCTCTGTAATTCTGCCTTTCAAATAGATAAAATGAAAATATTTTTAAAAAAGACAAGGCAAGGCTATCCTGTTTACAATGAAATACTTTGTACCTTTGTCAGAAACCAATTGACTATACTTTTGTGTTTTTCTATACTGTCTTGATTATTGTATATAGTAAGTCTTGAAATCTGGTAAAAACAAGTCCTCTAACTGTATTCTTTATCAAATTTGGTCTCTTTGCTCTTCAAATTTTTTAAAAGATATATTTATTTTATTTGACAGGCAGGGTTCACAGACACACATACACACACACACAGATCAGTCTTCCACCTACTGGTTTACTCCCCAGATGGCCACAACAGCTGGGGCTGGGCCACTGAAGCCAGGAGCTTCCTCCAGGTCTCCCACGTGGGTGCAGGGTCCCAAGCACTTGGGCATCTTCCACTGCTTTCCCAGGCTGTCAGCTGAAGTGGGGCAGCTAGGACTTGAACCAGCACCCATATGGGATGCCAGTGTTACACACAGTGGCTTTACGCACAGTGCCACAATGCCAGCCCAGACAATATGTATAAATTTCATACTTAAATTTGTCTAGCTACAAAGAAGTCCTACTTGGAGTTTAAATTACTTTGAATCCACAGGTCAGCCTAAATTCCCCTTTTTTTTTAAGATTTATTTGTTTTATTTGAAAGGCAGGGTTAGAGAGAGGCAGAGCCAGAGAGAGGTCTTTCATCTATTGGTTCACTCCCCAAATGGCTGCACCAATCCGAAGGCAGGAACCAGGAGCTTCATCTGGGTCTCCCACACGGGTGCAGGGGTCCAAGGACTTGGGCCGTCTTCTACTGCTTTCCCAGGCCACAGCAGAGAGCTGGATCCGAAGTAGAGCAGCTGGGTCTTGAACCGGCGCCCATGTGGATGCCGGCGCTTCAAGCCAGGGCATTAACCCACTGCACCACAGCACCAGCTCCTTGAAATTTTTTTCATCTCAGTGACACTTCATGTTTGAAGTGAATTTTTTTGGTTCACTGCCTAATATGCAGCAGGAAGAAAGGGGAACCACGTGCCGCTGGCTTCCGTGAGGCCCAAGCGTGTACTTTGGGAACTGTGGCTGTCCTCTCCTCTCCTGTCCTGTGTGATATGTGTGGGTGTGGGTGTGTGCGCGTGTATATGTGTGTGGGTGGTGTGCGTGTGTGCGCGTGTGTATGTGTGTGGGTGGTGTGTGTGTGTGCGCGTGTGTATGTATGTGGGTGGTGTGGGGGGGTGGCCTGGGGTGTGTGTGTGCGTGCGTGGGCATGGTATGTGTGTGTGCACGCGTGTATGTGTGGGGTGTGTGTGTGTGAGTGTGCACGTGTGGGTGTGAGGGGGGTGTGGGGGTGTTGTTGCCTCTGCTTCTCTCTGCATCCTGTTTTTCTCTGATTGTTTTAGCCCTCAGTTGGCTTTGTTTTTGGTTAATTCTAACTCTACAGTATCTTCAGTTGAAGAATCTGTGATTATTTGACTAATTCATAGCTTTGCTCCATTCCACTTTGTTTAGACAGGAAATGTAACTGAGCCCGCCTGTGGTTGTTGGTGCTCATTAGTGTAGGAGCCAGCAGTTTAATCTGCCGTCTCAGTGGCCAGTGGGTTGGCAGAGCACGCTACACTGTGTGTGTTCTATGTAAATAAGGAAATTCCCCTTTACCATCTTTGTTAAGCTAGGAGTAGAGAAGGTGAATTGGGCTAGGGTGGAGAAGGTGAGTCCCACAGAACCACACCTGACGGAGGGCCCGAGCTCCCCTGTGTTGTCTGTAGAGAGCAGTGGGGAGTCTGGGGTGCTCTGGCAGCACGCTGGCTGGGCACAGGAGTCTGTCCGCCGTGGTACCGGGACCCCAAGTTCTAAATTACTAGCAGTTTCTCTGACTGTCAACAACTTCATTCTGCTCATTTATTTTAGCACGTCAAGAAGAACTGTAAGCAGATTGAGTCTGCCAGACTGCTGCCTGGTGTGCAGTTCGTGCCTCCACATAGCTTGAACATGCGGAGCTTCACCAAGATCGTGAAGAGACTGGCTGAGCTGCATCCTGAAGTCAGCAGGTAACAGCTGCAACTGTGCGGTCGCTCGTTCTTACGTGAAATATAAACTTACATAAAATATAGTTCCACTCAGTATCTCAGCCATGTCAGAATGTGCCGGTTTCGGAAGCCCCAGCTGCGGTGTGCTGTCTGTCTGTGTAGAGACCAGCTCATAGATGCTCTTCAGGAAGTGAGAACTAACCACCACGGCTTTCTGAACGGCTTACCCATTCACACCATCGTGGAGATGACGTCGTCCGTGCTGAGAGACTCCGCGTCCAGTTAGGAACGAAGGAGCGGCAAAGAGGTGAGGAAGGCACATCCTTCCATATTTAAATATCACTTAAAACTCGAACGAACTTTATTTTCACGTAGAGTATTAAGTTTAGGGTAATATAAATAATATAACTTTTTAAAACATGCCATTTTAATGAACCATTTGTGCAGAACCAGTTACCACAAAATTGATTGGCTTAAACAGCATTTTTTATCACCTCACAGTTTGTAGGTCAGGATACAGGAGAGGCCTCCCTGGGTGATTTTGGTTTTGTTTTTTTCTTTTAGTTTGTTTTATTTGAAAGGCAGATTGACAGGGAAAAAGAGATCTTCTATTTGCTAATTACTCCCCAAATACCTGCAACAGCTGGGGCTGGGCCATGCCAGAGCCAGGAGCCACGAACTCTGGGTCTCATGCATTGGTGATGAAGACCTAGACACTGGCGCCGAGAGCCATGGTCTGCTGCCTCCAGGGTTAGTGTCACCAGGAAGCTGGGTCACGAACGGAGGTGGACATGAAACTCAGGTACTTGGATGTGGGATTTGAGTGCCCCAAGTGGTGGCTTACTCTGCTGTGCCCCAGCACCCAGGACCCCGCACCCATTAGCGAGGGTGTCCTGTTACGGTCAAGATGTTGGCCTGGACTGTCATCCTGGGCCTTGAGTGAGGGTCCGAGGGGTGGGGAACGGTCAGGGCTCTGCTTCTAAGATATTCGCGTGGTGGGTGCCACGAGAGCCCTTCCTGCGTGGCCTTTCTTTCCGTAGGGCTCCTTCAGTGTCTGCTTGTGGGAGCTGGCTCGTCTGAGCAGGAGCGGACAGGACGGAAGCTGCCTGGTGAGAGGTCACGTGGCCCTCGCCGCCGGCAGCGGTCCTCGGGGTGGGAATTACGCTCCACCTCTACAGGAGGGTCCAGCAAATAATGTGTGTGTGTGTGTGTGTTTAATTACCACAGACTGATGTAGAACCCCTGCTCTAAAATGGAGACTTTGGTTCTAGTTGTCGATGTCTAGAAATTCAAGCCACTTTCCACTGAACAGCTAGAAAAGCTGAAAAAAATAAAATAAAAAAACAATACCTGCGTGGAGGCACTGGAGAGCTGGCAACGTAACCACGGGTTCTGGGCTAGAGCGGAGGTGAGTCCCACAGAACCACGCCTGACGGAGGGCCCGAGCTCCCCTGTGTTGTCTGCAGAGAGCAGTGGGGAGTTTGGGGTGCTCTGGCAGCACGCTGGCTGGGCACAGGAGTCCGTCCGCGTGGTATCGGGACCCCAGAGGGCTGGACGCTGGGAGCAGCTGGGAGCCAGAAATAGCATAAACTAAAACCACACGAATGAAAACCAGCTTAAGCACTAATAACAGAAGCTGCCCACAGAGACTCCATGTATTTAATTTATCGGGCACACTTGTAAGAACACATGCTTACACTATATGTGGTTATTTGCTAAGATATCAGTAATGATTCTCCTCTGTGTCCATACTTCTTTGCAACGTAGCTGTGAAACTTCCTGTGAAGAGAGTGTTGTCCTGCCGTGTTAGGCAGGGCTGGCTACGACTTGCTTTGAGATGTTAGGCCATTCCCCAGCGTAGACCTCAGGAGACTGAAGACAGCCTTGTGGTGAAGCCCAGACAGCCTGCGGGACAGGAGACACCTGGAAGACGGGCAGGGGATTCTGCCCTGCAGCCTGCCTTCCCAGACCTGGGAGAACTGGGCACACCTCGGCAGGCACCTGCCAGCCTGGCAGCACTGCCGCAGGCCGGAGGGAGCCCACCCAGACGAGAATCGCTCGGGGGGACCAGCCCTGGGCTCGCTGGCAGCTCAGAGGCTCGGCAGAGGGAGCTGGTTTGCTAGACCTGCACAAGCTCACTGACTCGGTGTATCGGTTCAAGGACACAAAAGACGGCATTGTGGGTTTCAACAGAGAGCTTAAGTTACTTTTAAAATGGAAATTCCATTGATGAGAAATGAAATAGCCGAACACAGTAACTCAGGCTCTGTAGCAGATCAGGCAAGCAGTGAAGTGGGAGAAAGGTCACAGCTAAGCAGTGGAGCTTAGGAAGAAGAAAGCAAAGGGAGAAGCATGTGCCGTGGAGACAGTGACGAGCACTGACGTTTGTGTGACTGTGATGCAGTTTTATCCAGAGAGGAGAGAAAATAGAGAGGCACAATTCTGTTAAAATTATAGTTGCAGTATTTTTTTTTTTTTGACAGGCCGAGTGGACAGTGAGAGACAGAGAGAAAGGTTGTCCTTCCATTGGTTCACCCCACAATGGCCGCCATGGCCAGCGCACCGCACTGATCCGAAGGCAGGAGCCAGGTGCTTCTCCTGGTCTCCCATGGGGTGCAGGGCCCAAGCACCTGGGCCATCCTCCACTGCACTCCTGGGCCACAGCAGAGGGCTGGCCTGGAAGAGGGGCAACCGGGACAGAATCCAGCGCCCTGACCAGGACTAGAACCTGGGGTGCCGGCGCCGCAGGTGGAAGGTTAGCCTATTGAGCCGCGGCGCCGGCTACAGTATTTTTTAAATGTGAAAAAATCAAGACAAATTCAGTGAAGCCTTTCAAAACCCAAGCCAGGAAAAGAAAGAATACCTCAGACATCAAAGAAAAATGGCTTGAAAGATCCAAACCAAAATGAACGTCCATGAAGCAGCCGAGAGAAGGTTTGTCTGAGGATGGCAGCAGTTGGCCTGCCGCCTGACTCAGGCAGACGCTGTCGGGTAGTTCTGTACCCAGGGAAACTGCAGGAGCAAATGTCAAGTGATTTCCATGTAAATAAGGAAGGGTGGTTTGTTTCTCTAGGAAAAGGCCCACGCTAAAGAACTGAACCACTGATGAGCATTTTATGAGGTAGGAAAGTGATTTTTAAATGAAAAGTAAAAAGTGCAGGAAAAAGGAAGGTCACAGAGCAGCTGGGGGGTGCCCTGGAGCAGTGCTGACTGACAGCGTCCTGGGGTGGGCGGGGGGCAGAGCGGCTGACACGCTGGTGCTGACAGTGCCAGAGGGAGGGAGGACGCAGGTGACGCACTCTCGGCCAGTCTGGGAAGGAAGAAGGTTCTGTGGCGGACCCCGGGCCCACACCCTCCCGCCACGTTCCGTGTTCACTAGGACTCATGGCTGTGATTTATTGTAGCAAAAGACACAGGACGTAAGGTTAGCAGAGGTCAGAGGTCAGAGGCACGAGGAGCCACGTCAGAGAGGCCAGCCACAGGCTTGCAAGGAACCTTCCGGCCGAGTCTCACAGACGTGCTGCTTCCCCAGGGATGCACGCTAACGTCTCTGAGAAGGTCACTGGAGACTCCGTGCTCGATTCATGGGGATTTTTCATGTCTGCTCACACCAACGTCTTAAACTCTGAGGGAAAATAGCGTCCGGCAGGAACCACACAGCCGTGCGAGCAGGTTCGGCACACGAAGCGGTTACGTCTGCAGTCGCGGGCCTCAGAATCAGGCTCTCCAGAGCGCCAGCCACGGCCAGCTTTTCAGGCAGGTCTTTGTAGGGACAGAGGCTCGCACGCTACCTTAACCTCTCTCCTGCACTTGCACTGGGTAGCAGACTTGGACGGCTAGAGCGCATGTTGCAGTCATTGGAGCAACCATTAAAAAAGCAATTTTTGAAAGCATGCAAAGCGTGGTACACGCTTACGCTAGTGCCTGAGATGCCACGTCCCACGTCAGGTTATCTGACTCCAGCTTCCTGGTCACGCAGATCAGAGGAGGCAGTGGTGATGGCTCCTCGTCTGACTCCAGCTTCCTGGTCACGCAGATCAGAGGAGGCAGTGTGATGGCTCCTCGCCCCCCACGTGGGAGCTGTGGATCTCCTGGCTGCTGGCTTCAGCCTGCCCAGCACACGTGCTTTCAGACATTGGGGGAGTGAATCAGCAGATGGGGATCTCGCCGCTCTGTCTTGCTCTCCTCCCTCCCCTCTTCCAAATAAATGAATAAATCCAAACATTAAATCAAAATGCATCAAGGACATAACACATTAAGAGTTGAAACTATGCCGACGCTGCGGCTCACTAGGCTAATCCTCCGCCTTGTGGCGCCAGCACACCGGGTTCTAGTCCCGGTCGGGGCGCCGGATTCTGTCCCGGTTGCCCCTCTTCCAGGCCAGCTCTCTGCTGTGGCCAGGGAGTGCAGTGGAGGATGGCCCAGGTGCTTGGGCCCTGCACCCACATGGGAGACCAGGATAAGTACCTGGCTCCTGCCTTCGGATCAGCACGGTGCGCCGGCCTCGGCAGCCATTGGAGGGTGAGCCAACAGCAAAGGAAGACCTTTCTCTCTCTCTCTCTCTCTCACTGTCCACTCTGCCTGTCAAAAAAAAAAAAAAAAAAAAAAAGTTGAAACTATAAGAAAAAAGTGGAAAACCTTCACAACATTGGATTTGGCAATAGTCTTTTTTGGCTACGACACCAACGATATTGACACACACAAAAAGAAATTAGTTGATCAAAAGTAAAAACTTCTTTATCAAAACTTAATTATTGAGCTGGCCCTGTGGCATAGTGGGCTAAGCTGCTTCCTACGGTGCCGGCATCCCATATGGGCGCCGGTTCTACTCCCGGCTGCTCCTCTTAAGATCCAGCTCTCTGCTGTGGCCTGGGAAAGCAGTGGAAGAAGGCCCAAGCACTTGGGCCCCTGCACCTGCGTGGGAGACCTGGAGGAAGCTCCTGGCTCCCGGCTTGGGGTCGGCTTAACTCTGGCCATCCCTCCAGCCATTTAGGGAGTGAACCACTGGATGAAAGACCTTTTTCTCTGCCTCTGCCTCTGCCTCTCCCTCTATAATGCTACCTCTCAAATAAATAAATAATAATAATAAACACTTCATTATCAACAGAATGAAAAGGAAACCCATGGGATGAGGGGAAGGTACCTGCAGGTCATGTATCTGGTAGGGAATGAACACCCAGAACACACGAAGCAGGCTGATTGAAACAGGGACTCTGCAGAGGCGCAGACGCTGTGCACAGGAAGGTGGCCGGCATCCCTAGCCGTGACAGAAGCACAGTCCCAATCGACATGAGAGTCACGTCAGGGGCTAGGGTGACGCATCCCAAAAAAGTCCAAATGACCAGTGTTGGTAGGGATGTGAAGAAATTGGAACCTTGATTGCTGGTGGAAGCACAAAGTCGTGCCGCTGTCGTAGAGAACGGCGTGGCAGTAGCTCACACGTGAAGCAGAAGTGCCGTATCAGCCAGTAACTACTTTGGCGTCCTTACCCAGGTCCCTGCCCCGATGGATGCTGACGGGCAGACATCAGCAGGTACCAAGTGACTGAAGCGAGTGGAGTACGCGTGAGGGGCCTCCGAGGCTCGCGAATGCCTGTCACCCGCGAGTTCAGTGTCCACAAGCACTTGAGTCCCTGGAGTACAGCTGCTGCCTGTAGAAGGGGACACGGAAGCACACACACGTTTGCTTATGTTTGTGAGAAGAAATCCTGGAGGGAAAAGCTGACAACACGGTTGAGCACAGGGGATGGAAGAGGGATTAAAGCCAGATGTTTCTGACCTTGGAGTCATAAATGCTTGGCGTGTACACATAGAAGGTTAGGGAAGGGAAGTCAGTCTTGAAACAGAGTGGACGTTTGGTGTGGCAGTCGGGATGCAGGTTGGATGCCGGCGTCCCACAGCAGGTGCCTGGTGTGAGTCTCGCTCCTCCACTCCCCGTCCAGATCTCTGCTGTTGTCTACACTGGGAGGCAGTGGATGGATGACAGCTCAGGTTATGTGGGTCCCTTCCACTTATGTGAGATCCAGGCTCATGGCTTTAGGCTGGTCTAGCCCTGGCAGTTCTGTGCATTTTGGGAGTGAGCCAGGTGATAGAGGATCTCTTTCTCTGTCTTTCAGATAAAACAGTTTAAAAAGCTATGCAGATTTTTAAAAAATGAAACGGCTTGTGTATTAAATTAGTCATATAAGGAAAAAGCACTTGGAGCTGCAGAGATGCCAAAAACTGTGTTTAGTTGTCCAATAGTAGTAATACTAGTGTTTCCTTTGTTAATATTTATTTATTTATTTGAAAAAGTTATACAGGGAGAGAGAGTCTTCCATCCACTGGTTCACTCCCCAGTTGGCCGCGATAGCCAGAGCTTTGCTAATCCAAAGCCAGGAGCCAGGAGCTTTTTCTGGGTCTCCCACGTGGGTGCAGGGGCCCAAGGACTTGAGCCATCTTCTGCTGCTTTCCCAGGCCACAGCAGAGAGCTGGATCAGAAGAGGAGCAGCCGGGACTAGAACCAGTGCCCATATGGGATGCCAGTGCTTCAGGTCAGGGTGTTAACCGGCTGCGCCACAGCACCAGCCCCTAATAGTAGTGTTTAAACTTCTGTATGGAGAGGATAATTACATTAATGTTAGGAACCAAGATCTTTTGTGCACAAGAAAAGTAAAAGGTACAGGTGTAAAATTGAAAGGTGAATTTGAAAATTTTGTACTATTTGAATCAGAAGGAAGGAATATGACTTCATTATTCCAAAAACACATATTCTAGGGGCCAGCGCTGTGGCGTAGCAGGTAAAGCCACTGCCTGCAGTGCTAGCCTCCCATGTGGGCATCAGTTCATGTCCTGGCTGCTGTTCTTCTGATCCAGCTCTCTGCTGTGGCCTGGGAAAGCAGTAGAAGATGGCCCAAGTGCTTGGGCCCCTGCACCCGCGTGGGAGACCCAGAAGAAGCTCCTGGCTCCTGGCTTTGGATCAGTGCAGCTCTGGCCGTTGTGGTCATTTGGGGAGTGAACCAGCAGAATGGAAGAGCTCTCTCTCTGGTTCTACCTCTCTCTGTAACTCTGTCTTTCAAATAAATAAAATAAATCTTTAAAAATGAAAAAATAACAAAATTACGATAAGGTGCACTAATTCTAAATGTACAGCTCAGCAAGCTTTCACATGCCTACACAGGTGTGTACCAGGTCAAGGTATGTGGGGTTTCAGCACCCCGTGGTGTCCCTGTGTGCCCCTCCTCAGGTACTCATTGCCCACACACCACCAGACACAGGCGTGGCCTTGCTTTGACTTCTGGGTCCCTACAGTTCACCAAGAGAAAGAAGACTCCTGCCTTCTAGGTTCTGACAGTCTAGAGAGGAGAAGGAAATACATCAAAAAGAATTTCAAGCAGTGACAAGTCCTCCACAGCAGGGCCAGAAAGTAACAGGGGAGGGGTGCATCTAAACGAGGACAGTAGATGAGGCAGGTGAATACCGAAGAGGAACGTTTCTACCACCACGCAATTCTGATTTTTCCTGTTACAGCAAAACCTGGAGAATGTCTATATACGTGGTGTCTGGTGGCCTGTTCACTAGTCCAGTAGTAGTGTGTAGTGATACGATTAACCAGTGACCAGTATGATGTCCATGTACATAAGTGAGTTTCATGAAAATGGTTGGGTAGTAGTAGCGTATACCGACACCTTTTGCAGTATTGGATTTTTGGTGTAATCAACGTACTTTATGACTGATTTCTCCATTCTCTTTGACCCCTCAGGGTCTCCTTGGAGAGCGCTGGCCCTCCTCCAGGCAGTGTTCCACGGCTTCAGGAGGAAGCTGTGCCAACAGGGAGGTGATGTGATCGAAGCTCTGTGAGTGGACTGAGCTCTTCAGATATCCTGCCTGAAAATCTGGCGGCGTTGCCTGTCATATTAAGGTCTTCTGTATGTAAAGTTAAAGTACAATTTTAATAGGTTTATAAATACTTATTAGTCACTTGAAACTCCATATTTTAGGTCAGAAAAAATGGTCATGTCCACTTTAACAACCTTTGTTAAGTTAGTGTTTTTGAAAGTATTGATTCAGTTTGTCGTTTAGTGTTAAGTGATCTTCGTACATTAAAAAATGTGATTCACCTGAAGGTCGTATCTCAGTTCTAGTTTGCAGAATCCTCACATTGCACCGTAACATGGTAGATAGACTGAATCCACAGAGAAGCAGCACTCTGGAACTATTTTAAGCTTCCGCAGTAAGTAAACTGCTGCTGTGATACATTTAATGCAAGTTGATGACTTCAGTATAAAATATTCAGATATATTTTGTCTTCTCCAAGAAGCATGACCCCGTGTGTGCTTGGTAAAGTACTTTAGGTGGCCACCGTGTCGCTTGTTTTGTTTTTGATAAGGTTGTTCTGTTAGGTAAGATTAACATTCAAGTTAAACATTATCTCCAAGTGTTCACGGTGCTCAGAGCTTCCATTCTTAGTTGGTGTCAGTTGATTAAAAATGACCCAGTTAACATTTGTATTTGTTGTTTATATTTAATAAAGACAGTTGATATAGTATCACTGTAAATTTAATACTTTTTGCCTTTTTAATGGCATTTTCCAAGTGCAAATCAACCTACTGTGTTCTGTGGTAAGGTTTGTTTCATGTGCTAGTTTATCTACCATTATTACCAGATCCCTCCAAGCATTTACCAGGAATTGTATTCCAAAATGTAGAAAATTAATTAGTAAGGACCCTGTTAAATAAAACTTGAAAAATCATCGGTTAGGACCATACGTTACATTAGTGGAATCCTAAATTATAAAGTTTTTCCCTGTATGTTAAATTACAAGGTCATTTAAATATTCTTAATTGTTATGTATTAGCGGAGAGAGAAGCACACAGGCAGGGCTAGCAAGGCCCCCCACCCCCACCCCCACCCCCGCTAACGCCCCAGGTGCCCGTGACAGCCGGCAGGAGCCGGAGCTGAGAGCCTGCACCTCCACCCAGTGGCAGGAACTCAGTTACTTGAGCCATCAGACTGGAGTCAGTCAGGAGCCAGCTGGGAGTCACACACCCCCCCGCCCCGGCACGCCAGTGTGGGACATGGGGGGGGGGGGGCTCCCACTCTGGTTATTGATATTTAAGGGCTACAGTCCCTCAGACAACAGCAACATAGAATATGCATTATTTCCAGTGTATCAGTAGGAATACACTGGTCATTTGTTTCTAAAGGGAATGGTGAAGTACTGTTTCCGTTTAGAATGTGGAGAGAGAAAATGACTGCATTTGATTTGGGGAAAATATAGGAAACATCTTTTGAAATTACTTGTTTAAATAGACGTTCCAAAACCAGAGCCTCAGGCAGCTTTTATGAATTGAAGGGCTGGCACCTGTGAACATTAAGTTGACAGCCATTATTAAACTTCCCAAGTTAAATTTAGGAACTAGTGTCATTATTTGTATTTCAGACTCTCCAGTGGAAAAAATTGATTGTTATCATATTCCCTAAAATGGTTCAATATTAGATAACTATATAGTTGCGCAATTTAAAGACTGATCAAATTGTCCAAGTTTCCGAATATCCTAACAGAATTTC